TCCTTTGTTTTCTCAACATGAAATTTTACAAATTTAAAAATTGAAGAATTCTACTCATTACAGATTTGATAATGCAGAATACTGTTACTTTCCAGCTGAAATTCACATTCCTTTCTCAGCAACTTGTAAGCATTATCTGCTTAATAAATACAAATTTCAAAACTGAATCAAGGTCTCATTTCTAGGCTCATAAACATTGACTAGAAACTTGGAAATACATGATTAGGCCCCTATTTTATCTGGCATTCTGGCACTGACTGAAAAGCAAGAAAGTCAGGTACATAAAGACACTATTTTTTTTTTTTGGTGGGGGGTTGTTCTGATTTTGATTAGGGGCTTTGAAACCATGTGTAAGCCTAGAGTTATCAGCTGATGAACATTTTGTTGGCAGAACAGTTGCTGTGTCTCTCAAGCAAGATGTGTTTTACACGCAAACATACAAGTGCTTTCCCTCTCGTGCATGAATACATTTCTAACAGGTACTCATACCATGCACACATACCTTTTATAGAAAAAACAAAAAAACTCTAAGACACAAATGTTACAGCAACACAATGCTCAATGTAAATTATGAAATACAAATCAATATATAATACAAAAAAATATTTTGCTTAAGTTTTACTGGTCCCCTCAACTGACAGTTTCATATGCTCTTGCAATTTTTTTGTGAATAGCATAATCCTTAGTATTCTGAATTCAGAAAAATTTTCTGTCCTTTTTCATGGCCTGAGGATTATTCTATTGCTGTGAGAGTATATGTAAATGCATGTCACAGAACCATTAAAAAAATTTAAGTAAAATATTTTTTTATATTGTGTGTGTGTATATATATATATATATATATATATATATATATATATATACACACACACATTTGAATTGAGTGTATTTAGGTAGCAATTTCGCATTAACACTTATTTGATTAAAAAAAACAACAGAAAGGTCTTTGTTGATTATTATTTTTAATAATTTTTCCGATTTCCTGTTCATATTCGTAAATATATCTTCCCATGTCTAAGCACTTTCAGACATCAGTAGCCATTTTCAAAACATTTTGTTGTTTGTTACATAATTTAAGTTTTTTTTTTTATTTTTTTAAATGTCACATCTTGCATGTTGGCTTTTATTGCATTTTATATATTCATGTGAAAGCTCATGTTTTCTAAAGCTTTTGCAGTTGATGTGGTATAGTAGCTTTATCTTGTTAAGGATGTTTTTTGTTAATTGATATGTTTTAATGAAGCTATTTTTAGATAAGTGGCATGTTAAACAGCATGATAATGTTGTAGTAGCAAAACCAATGTAGGTTTGAATTGTTATTAGAGAAGCATTCTCCAATCAAGCATTTGAATTCATAGATAACAGTTTGAGCTTTATACACCATTGGTGATTATAATGCTGGAGTATTTCATTTTTTTTTTTTTTTTAAATAAGAAAAGTTTAATTTATTTTTGTCATTAGTTGATATGTATTAGATTTCATATAATTTTTTTTTTTATTTAGTGTACAATTATTGTGTAGTGGATTCCTGGAAAATAGTTTAAAAGTATTTTTTCTGTTATTTTTATTTGTATTATTGTTTGTTTTTTTATTTTTCCAAATGTTAGTTTAGTTTGTTTCTGGACTATGTGCTTAGGGAAATAATTGTTAATTTGAATTTGTTTTTGAGTTCATTAAAAAAAATATTGGGTATAGAAGATATTAAATGTGCTCTATTAAATTAAGTATTAGGCTATTTTGTATCAATGAGAGCATTCACTGTTGTAATTAAGTAGGCGGGAGTAAGTTTTTTTTTTTTTATATATATATATATATTTTTATATATATATAAACAGAGGTTTTAAATGTTTTATTATTTAAGTCAACTGATACATCTAGGAAAGGAATTATGTTCAGTATCGAGTTATTTTAAAAATTTGTTCTCAGATTGTTTTCAGTGTTGTTTGTATGAATGTCATCAATATAGTTTGGAATTTTTTTTTTTAAATGTCTTTTCTTTTAATGACATAAAATTAACATTGAATCAAGAGGAAAACTTATGACAATACCATTAATTTGTGCATAGATATTTCCCATATGGTCATGGAAGAGAATTTCTATTGGTATGTTGTTTTTGAGGATTTCTATGGATTTGTATGTAGAGTAAATACCGTATTTTGAAGGTGAGTATGGTTTAACTTTTATCACTCTGCATGTGCCTTCATTTGCTGTACAAAAAGTTTATCTTGCCACTGAAGGTGACTGATGTCTGAATAATAGTGTTTGAATTTCATAGTTGTGTTGTCATATCCAGCTAAGGCAACAAAAAACAACTCAGTGAAATTAATAAGGATACTGTAATCGAGAGGCCTTGGAAAAGAATGCAGTGGAAAGGAAAGTAATGTTAATGATGCAGAGTGCTAAAGTTAATGATTTGATTGAGTGTTTTTGCTATGTGGGAGGTCGGTGTGGGAATTTGTTATATTATTGGTCTTAATGGTGTTTCTGGTTTTTATCCTGGCCTGTACTTGCCAGTGATTTTTTTTTTTTTTTTAGCTCTATTGATTTTATTTTTGTGTTGTTGGCAGTGACTAGTTTGTGAAAAAGTAGAAGACACAAATTACCATGTGAATATGCAAAATTTAAAAAAACAAAAAAATTAAAATGACAACAAAAAGTCTTTAATAATGGCATGTGCTAACCAAAAGTGCTTACACATGGGAAGATATATTTACAAATAAGACCTAGAAAACAGAAAAATTATTAAAAATAATAAAAAAAAAAACAAAAAAACAAAAAGCAAAACAAGGAACATCTGTTGGTTTTCAATCAAACATGCATATATAATGCACACATGCACGTGTGTGTATAAAAAATGATGAGAAGAAACCCTTTTATACCAATGTGTTTTGTTCCTGGAGGAACTTTATCAAGGCAAATGTAAAAATTTTACTTAGGGACATGTTTATACACGCAGAAAAAGTAACACTGAGAAAAAAATGTTATGCATTAAAATTTGAATTACAGAAAAATTTTCCTCATTTCTTTTGTCTTTGCAGATACATTTATCTCTGAATATAACACACACCCACAAATATGTTACATATACACACACAGCAACCCAAATTAACTTGAATAAATTGATCCACATGTTTGCCAAGTTATCCAGTATTTCCTATGTCTTGCTCAATATTTTAATTCTATCTCAAAATAGTGCACCAAAGGATATTAGGAAAATAAAGACAGACAAAACAACTAATTTTCTTTAAATTTTTTCACCTAAAGTTCACTTAAAATTCACTTAAAATTTAAACATGACTACCTTGTGTGTCCATATAGATAACAATGTAATCAGATACAGTGACTAATGAAAATGTTAGAAAAATAAAGTGTTGGAAAGGTTATATGCATTCAGTATGTATGTTCATGAATATTAAGCAGATTGCCAGCTGGTCATGACATTGGGGCTATCAAAAGCATGTAAGAAAAGATGGATGATTACTTTTTAATTGTATAAATTTATGCAAATCTGAGTAAATTGTCTAGATTGTGGAATAAATGCTTTTACTAAGTGCATATTTATTTCTATGCACTAATAAATAAATGACCAAATAAGAACATTTTTTTTCTCTCCCATTTTATCAAAAAGAAGGACACCTGTCCTTTTTGTGCTTTTTATGTACATAATTTTTCAAACATGAGTAATTGAAGCATCAATGGAAATGTGGCTGGGGAGTTGAAGTATCCTTGGGAATAGGGAACACAAAGAGTATGGGACGCTGGCAGGCACATCATTTTAAATTGAGAAGGAATCAGAAGCCTGGGGGAAAGGAGAAAAAAAAAATGTACAAACAGAAAAAGAAGAAATAAAAAGGTTAAATGTTGGGTTCATAATGGAACTGATCTAACAACAGACTGACTGAAAATGCGTCCAAAAGAATAAAATTTGAAAGCAGCGCTGGAGAAATTAAGGTATTCAATGGAAAAAATAAAATAAATAAATAAAATAAATAATCTCACATTACCACAACACCTTAGAAAATTATTGAAAAGTAAAATCTTTTCAAGTTAGTAAGCATTATATAAAGTTATGGCAAACATTGACTTTCAGGCCTGCAAAAAAAAAAAAAAAAAAAAAAAAGTCAAAAGGATGTTTTCTCCCATGACACTGCTTTTAATCTAATTACCTTCATTCTTTGGCAATCGATAAGAATTGTAATAAAACAAACACATGAAGGTGAATTTATACATTTTCTTTGCTCTTGAGAATTGACAACAAAAATAATAAACACTATTATATTGTTTACTGGAATGGTTGGCAAAAAAACTGCTAATTGCCAATCAATTTGAACTTTATAAAATTTTAAATTTATTTAGTTGATTCACATATTTTCATAAATTTATTAAATGTTTATAAATTTATGAATAAAAATGTTTATATTTATTTCTTTATTAATTAGTAAATGATAAATATTGCATTCATTTAGTCTTAATACAATTGCATTAGTCTTTAGAATGTTGTAAATATAACATTATTCTTGTAAATAAACAATTTAATAAATAAATAGTGATTAATATTTTTTTGTAAATTCTTAAGAATGAAAAAAAAATATATAAATTAACTTTCATCTTACATTTACTTATAATCATTTTTTAAAACAAACATTGCTGAAGAGTAGTTAAAATAAAAGCAGAGTCATGGGAAAATCTGACCTTTTTACTCAGTTTCTTTTGTGGGCACAATAGTCAATTTTTGCCAAAGTTATTTTCTTCTCTGTAAAATAGGTGAACAGATTTGTAATTTAACCTCCTTTGGGCTATTTTCAGACTCATTGGAATTAACTGCCACATCATAAAAAATTAACTGCAGGTTTTTTTTTTTTCAAGGTCTTAAAAAGATCATACTTTTTTTTCCCAAAAAGGTATCATGGAAATGTAAGACAAACTTTGTAGAGAAAGAAAGAAGGGAAAGAAATAGGAAAGGAAGAAAAAAAAAAAGAGTGACAGTGTTGGCAAAAAGATTAGGTCATTGCAGCTCCAAAATTGCCTCCAGGGACCACCCTAGGGTACCTTTTATTTGATGCAGATCCTGAAGCCACTGTGGAAGCCTGTCCTACGGGTGAGAGATCTAACCTGGACTGGCTGGATGATTCTGGGATACTTGAAGGTATATCTCCAACCAGAACTGATATACATTTCCAATTGCCTAGGTAGTTGGCTAAAATTAAAAGAGAATGAAATTTTTATAAATGACAAATAACAGTTTTTTTTTTTTTTTTTTTTTTTTAAATGTTCAAGAAAAATCATATATATTTTACACTACCTAAACCACCGAGACAATTTTAAAATGCCTCGATAGTCAGCTGAATTTAAAGAAAAAAGCAATTTATAAAATAACATTTATTTTTATTTCACTTCTCTCTACTTGTGAAAAGCTGATGGCAGCTTTGAAGATCTAACTGTTGGCTATAAAACACCAAACCCTTCAAGTCAAAGATAAAATCATTTGTAGCTTATTTGACTTCAGGGATGTTCTAAGCCAGATCCCATTATGCCCCAATTCCAATAGTTCAGTCAGCATTAATATTCTGAGGTATATGATTGCTTTGGTTTGTTTTGACTTTATGGCATATCAACCTCAATGGGTTATTTAATGACGACAATTTTTATTGTTGGTAATTTTTTATTTTTTTTTAAATCTTTTTTATTCTGGTAATATTTTTCCTTCAAATTTCTGGTAATAATTTTCTTTCAAATATGTATCACTGGTAATATTTTTTCTTTTTTTTAAAAAATGTATAGCTGGTAATATATATATTTTTTTTTTTCAAAAATATATTGCTGGTAATGTGTTTTTCAAAAATGTATTGCTGGTGACATTTGGTTTTCAAAAATGTATTGCTGGTAATAATTTTTTACTAAGTATTTCTGGTATTAAAACCTATTTTTACATTTCCATAGTGTTTTGACCCCAGTTACAATTCCATTGAACAAGGTTTTGCATCTTGATTATGTATTACAAATTTTTACATGTCCAATTTTTTTTTTATAAAGGATGAAGTGTCTGAGGAATATGAAACACCAAAATTTTAAATGAAATGTTACCACAAAGTTTGCATAATTTGATCACAAAGAGGATAGTGTACAGGTGTGTGAATGATATGTATATTAGTGTGGATAGAGAACAACTGAAGTGTGAAACTGATAGTTACAAAAATGTGTTTTTCATTATGTCCACAGGAGAAAAAAAAACAGAAGACATTCCAAAAAATATTCTGCCACTTGAGTACAGGCCATAGGCTTAAGGCTCCAAAATGATACGACTGGATTGTCAAGAGATACATGGCCTCAGTCAGTTATGTGCCATGCATGATACACACTTAGGCGATCATGTATCTTGATACATGACTGATGAGGCAGTTTTTTTTTCGCAGTAGATTGCCATTTCTTTCTGCGGTAGACCAGTTGCCATCCAAGGCTATAGAACTCAGTCTGTCTTGCTATTTACCCATAGCTGGAGGAGAAGAAAAGGATTCATACCTTTCCCAAGGGTATTAGCATGTAAGTGAATGTAATGGATTCGACTGGAATTCGAACTCAGATCTGATTCCTCAATCTGAGCTGCTATCCATTACTCTACCATGACACATGCCATAGAGAATTAAAAATGCAGATTAGAACAACTGATTTCCTGGCAATTGTAAATTCAATTCCAGGGTCAGGTAGTGTAGAAAAAATAACATTCTTGTGGAAGAAACAGATAAGTGAGATATAACTGAATAGACTGGTGATTATTAACAGATATGGGATATTCCCCTAAATGTGGCATGTCAAATGAGAACATGAATTTTTTAAAGGAAACCAAAAACTGAATAAATGTGTGATTATTAACTGATACAAGAAATTCTCTGAATGTGGAAAATGGAAATATATAATTTTTCTTTTCTATTTGAAAGCACAATGCTCTTAAATGCATGGTTTTCTATCAATCATTTTTTAAAGTTTTTTTGAGATTTGTTAAAAATGGCAAAAAATATGAATAACTAAGTCTTTGAAACAATGAAAAATTTGAAGTTAGCAATCACCTTAAGATGCTAAATTTGAAAAACATTTTGGAAACAATAGGCAAGCAGCAATATTTGAATTTATCAAAATGCTTTGTAAACCATACATTTCATTTTGAATGGAAATAATGCATATATTTTGGAAACCATGAGCAACTATAACTGTCATATTTGAATTCAGCTTGTCAAAATGTATTATAAATAATACATCTCAAAAGTAAACAAGTTTTGAAAAATGTAGTTCAGTTTAACTGAAAACTTTGGTCTAACAATATTGAAGTTTATATATGAAAATTGATTAGGATGCTGTTTATGCTAAATAGTCATATTGATGTGACACCAAGATCTCTGGAGGTCAAACAAAAAGAGAGAGAGAAAGAAGGAATAACAGAGTCTACTAACTGGATAATAATTGTTGAAATTGCAGGAAGATGGATTGAAAAGTTCAGAAGAAAATTAAAAATGAAATGTTTTGAAAAGTCATGTTTTGAGATAATTCCAAGAATAATTTAACACAAATTTAACTAGATGAAATTCAATAGGATTGAGCAAACCCAAGACTACTTGTCCTTCCCTACCTCCCACTGATAAGAAAGAGACTATTAAGATGTCAGATAAAATAAAAACATGTCTATAGAGAAATTTGGGAGGTCACCAAAATAACATTCATGATTCCTCTGGATAAGAGGGGAAAAAAATCTGTTTCAAATCAGCCACTCAGAAGAAAAATATCCCCCCCCCATTCCAGCATACATCATTATAATTTCAGTGACATATTGGTAAGAAAAAAATTAATAACTATTTTGAAGTGACCATGGTCTAGAAAGTTGGGTAGTCTATTTGATCATAAAAGAATGCATGACAGAGCAAAGATAAACTTTCATTTTAAGGAGAGTGGAAATAGATTTTTCTTTCTTTTTTTTCCAATTCTTGAGTGGTCTGGTCAATCAAAACATCCCCAGCATGGGGCAAGGTGATAGATAAGGACTGAAAATCTCTTGTCTTTGCTGCGCCATCTGGAAATTGGATTTATCACTCCAGCCTAGGAAGTGGGCTGAGGTTGGCTGCTGAGGGGAGATTAGCACTGCCTATATGGAGCTGTGGTATGAAGCTAAGTGTAAAGGGAGTTGGCGTTAAGGGGTAGCTTGATCCCTCTGACCACTCTTAAAAGTGGACTGGACAACCCCAAATTTGGAAAACCACTTGAGTAAACGTATTTTTATATATGGAAATTTAGAAAAGATTCTTGTTTATTTTTTATTAAGTATGGAAACCTACATTTTTTTTTTTTTTACTGGATTTTTATTACAGCAACAGGCATTGACATTACATAGAAATTATGTCTTTGCTGAGGACTTGTATGCTAATATATGTTATCAAGTGCATAAAAGGTTTATCAAATCCAGGTAATACAAGAAATAATTGCACACATATACACACAAAAAAAAGGATGATACAAAAAACTAGCACTAATACAACAGCAATTTAGAATGACACAAATGCATGAGTTAATATGGCCATATTACGTTTAAAAAAAAAAAAAAAAAAAAAAAAAAAAAAAAAAAAAAAAAAAGTTTATCTATGATCACCAAAGTTAAGCAATGCCAAGCTTGGTGTTATGGTGGAACACACCTATTCTATAGTTAATAGACTCTCCCACCTATAATAAGTAGGAGTAGTAAGAGTAACAAGTCAGTCAGTCGATGTTGGACAACAGTTAGTCGGATATGAAAGTATCAGTGACCACAACCAGATTACTCTGCGTAATACCTATTATATCAAGTTCCTAACGTTTTGTACGTCGAACCTATTTTAGGACCGACAGTACAAATACAAGCCTCCACTGTGAAATAACTCCACAACACTTGGTCAATACTTAGATGAGTGACTGCTTGGGAATAACAGGTGCAGTAAGCTTGTATGTGTGGGTGGTGCAACGGGTAATGGCTTAGAATTGTTCATTGGAGAACAGAGTTCCAATTTCAATCAGGTTCGTTATGTTCACTTCTGTGCAAATACCCTTGGGGAAAGGGGTGAATCCATCTCTTCTCCTCCTAGCTATAAGTTAACAAGTAAAACTTGTATCACAATCATTATTATCTGAATAAAAAAAAAAAATAAATAAACATTTTTTTTACAATCTAAAAAATATTTTCCAGCTTTAAATAACATTCAAAGTGTTGATAAGCTGTAGAAAACAAATCAATAAACACATGCATAAATGCGACATTTTGACACCCTCTGTTCATTTGTTTTGGGAGTATTTATTTTTATCGTCTCAACACTTCAGTATAGCAACAAACCAAGTACTATATTTGTCAATCTGAATAAGATGCACTCTCTGACCTAACAAAAACCTATAAATATTATACTGCATTCATTGTGCTGGTTTTATCAACTGAGAAATGAAAGACTGAGTTGGAAAAATAAAAAATAAATTAAGAATAAGAAGATTCCTGCTAAAATACAGCAGACAAATACAGCATTTAATATCTTTGGTTCACATATCAGTCAGATTTACCAAATATGGAACAGAAGCATGGCCATACATATTTTTGGTTTATAGAGAAATGCTAAATCAATTTCTTTAAAATGAACAAATTATATAGCATTCCTTGAGGCTGAAATAATCCTGCATTTTCCATTAGCTCCAGTGATTACTTCTGGAGACCAGATAAATAAATAAAAAAAAAAAAAAAAAAAGAACTAATATTAAATGCAGATTTTCAAGGTATCATCAGAGTTCTCTCATCTGTTTACTTCCATTTAGTCTTGTGATGTACTAAGCTAACCTTAGCCAGCATCAATAAAGAATAAGTTTTAAAAGAAAATGAATACATCATTTGGACAATTGAACTACTGTGCTACTGTTACCACATTTTGGCACATCTATCCCATTCTTTTTAAAGTTTAAAAACCATAAAGAAAAAGAACAGACACCTCCCCCCATCTACACATAAGTGCTCAAGTCTAGAAGTTACTTTTTATACTCTGTGAATAAATGAATTAGATCCTCATCAAAATATATTTCTAGAAAAAAAAATTTTTTTTTTTAAAAATTTTAGGCTTACCTTTCCAAAGCCTCACTTTGCCATCATCACCAGAAGAAGCCAAAACCGTTCCCATCACATTCCATGATAAACGCCAGACCTGTATGATACAGGGAAGGAAACAATTTTTATAACTGTAAGTAACAATACTAATGCTGAGAAAAAAAAAAAAAAAAAAAAAACATCCTGCAATATGAAAATTTAAGTTTTTGAAATGAAGAGTAATCAGGAGCCATTAAAAGAAATAGTTTTGTTCAAAAAGAAAAGAGAAAGTGTTCATGATCAATTAATACAGCCTCATTTTCTCCATAATTTCTGGCATATTGACAGGTCAATTGGGCAATTGAGAGCCAAAAACATCCTATTCAGGTGCAGAGAATACCTCAAAGACTAAATAGTTTGGTTTCAATTAGTTTCAATGAATGACTAGAAACAAAACACTGTAACTTATAGTGTTTGGTTCAAGCAGAGGTGTAAGCAGTGTTAATGGCACCAGTGGTTAAAATAAAAAGGTGGAGAGTTGTTTGTTTACCAGTTTTAGTTTTATTTCAAATTCCAAAAGAATTCTGACACAGACACACATTTCATCTTTCACCAGTGAGGACAAACTTAGAAAAGCCAAAATATCCTTTTTCTTTAAACAATTAATATAGGCTTATTAAGCACCATCCTTTAAGTTGCTTTATTAATTTATTTCAGAAGAAAGGAAATTCATTACCCACTTAATTGTTATTTAAAGTTCTATTTGCATCTCCAGCACAGAGAGCCCCCCACTGGAAACAAAAACTAAAATCAACTGACCTTTTGTCATTTAAGCTTAAATTTTTCTCTTATTTTGTTTATAATTAATAATAATAATAATATATATATATATATATATATATATATATATATATATATATATATATATATAAAGCTAATGGTTTTAGATTATTACTTTCATGGAATATGGGGCTTTACAAATATCAGAAGTCTGCTTAAAAAAACATGTAGTGCCCAAATTAGCATCTGAATATAACCAAGTCAAGTTTCCATGCTTTTGATTAAATTGAGTGAACTGAGAAGAAATCCTGAATTCACCTGAGATTATAATTTTGAGCCACAAATTCTTTGCTTAAATAACCATTCAAATAGTTTTTAATATAATTATGTTAATGTGGATTTATCAATACAGTGGAATCTTGTTATGAGGTAGAGGAGTTCCATGCAGATGGTGAAATCCAAAGATAAACATATTCAAAAGGTTTTACTATATATGTCATGAACCCATATAATGACAGAAATATTTGACTTGCACATCAAACCAGCCATAAAAACACAATGGACTAGACAAAAAGATATCAATATCTGATGACTCAGACTTTATGACATTTAAATTGATTAAATTTTTTTTTTTTTTTTTAAAGATTTTCGAAATACTATGAAAGACTTGTTTAACTTATAGATATTTTACTCTTGAAATCTAATTTGCAAAAGATAAGTTTTGCTCACTGGGCCAACAGTGAAACTGCAGTTGTGATCTGTAGAGAGTGAGGTTCTATTGTACATGCATCAAATCCATAAACAAAGGTTTATAAACTGGCTTACAAGAAAACTAAGTCACAGTAAAACTGATCAGAGATTTCTCTTATGCAAACAATACTTTTTACAATCTCAGTCGTACAGGCTGAGCATAATTCCACAACTTAGGATTGTTATTGCCTGAGACCTAAACTTGATCATAAAGTCAACCACTTTAAAGGAAATAGTGGAAACTAGTACTTTTTTTTTATTTTATTTCATAGGCAGTAATGTTTTTGTCTTTTCACCATAAATCAATTATTTTTTTTTTAGATTAACAACTTATATATAAATTATGTGAATTTATTTGTTTCATTTTAAAATGTGGCAATTATTTTGAATTTGAAATTACCTGCAATCATTTAATAAAGACAATTTCCATTAAATTAAAGAATTCCTTTTGTAATAAAGATTGTGAGTAGACTCATCGAATATTCCACCGATTGGGATTGGCTAATGACTACCCATGTTGCATCCCCAGTTTTGTTCATGTTGGTGTGCATTGAAAACTGGGAAAGACCCACTACACATTCACAAGGAAACAAATGCCACATTGAGAAATGTGAACTCAAACACCATTTCCAATATATTTAGTTTTATTCAGAGCTTCACTTGACCTTGGTGGGTAAGTAGGTGATATCTAGAACAACTTCTGCCATGTCAGTCTAACAGCTCAGCTCTTCCCTCTTATCAAATCTTGTCTATCCCATTGACAACAGATAGCCAGTGCAAGTTTCAAGGTAACAGTGTTTTTGTTATGAAAATAGCAGACTGTTCTAAGATTTTTTTTTTTTTTTTTTAACCAAGCTGGGAGTTGAAAAAAATTTAAATTACAGAATAAAACACGAATTAGAAAAATATATTTATACCATAATTTATACCATGTATAAACTAGTTATAATATACAGGGTGTCCCTAAGGTCTGGACACAGGAAATCTTATTAACTATATATATCTTTTTTTTTTATCTCCACAGATTAAACATGGTTTTGTCAAAAGAAGAAAGAACTGACTTCTTTTTCTAGGGTATGCTAAAGGAGAAGACATACTCAATGAAAATCGCAGATGAAACAAGATTTCAATCATAAAGAGTAAATGTGCTAAAATTGATGGCACGGTGGAGTTATTGCATCAAGTACATGTGAATCTTGCAAAGCACATCAACATTTGCATGAAAAATGATGGAAATCATATTGAAGATGTTATTTGTTAATATTCTAATTCAATAAAATGTTTAAAATTTCATTTCTTGAAAATATGCATTTTTACCAGTGTTTAGACTTTAGGGACACCTTGTAGATACTATTCGCATTTTAAATATATCAACAATTTTTTTTTTTCATTGTAAATTTAAAACATTTTTCACTCTTTATATATCCCTAGATAGGAGAAAACTATACAAATCTGCTGTTCATTTTTTTTTTTTCAGTAAGAATCAGTTTCTTATGACAATTTGTCAATATTTGAACAATGATTAACATCAGAAATAGCCCTTTTTGTGAGAAGAGAGTAAGGGAGTCCCCATGTTCAGTGCTTGCCTCCAACTCCAAGACAGCTACAGTTACTAAAGAGGTAATTAAAATAATTCTTTAGTATTCTTGTAGGATATGAGAAATAATTATAGACAAAAAGTTAAAAAATAAAACTTACCTGATGCTCATGATCGTCAAACTGACCCACTAAAGTAATTTCATACTCAGTGCCTGTTTCTAAGTTATTATCTTGTCTAGAAAAAAAAAAAAGTAACAAAAACAAATCAATATGAAATCAATGACATAAGAGTAAAAGGGATGATAATTGTACATACAATATTCCTGTCTTAATTACTGACTACTGACAATGCTTTTCCATTCTGCTTTTCAATACACTATATACAAAATGAGTGCAGAAATAAGCACAATTTTTAGGTAAAAAAATTGAACAATTTAGTGCATAAGTTACTTTTTTACCTTGCTACCAGGAATATTTAATTTCTTAGTTCAGAAAATGACTAGAGCTAAGCAGGGAGAATGCTGGAGTAGCTGTAAAGTCTGTGGTTCGAGATAAGAAAATCCAAAACCTTGCCTATGTTGGTTTACATATAATCAATGTTTAAAATAACAGTAAATCTGGTATTTAATCAATGATTCTTTTTCATTGAGCAAGAAATAATTAGTTAATTAATGCAGAAAATGACTAAAGACATGCAAGGAGAATAGTGAAGTAGTAGTAAAATCAGCTATTAAAAAAGCAAAAAAACAAAAAAAACTATATATATATATATATATATATATATATATATATACACACACCATGTTAAAATACAGTTACCACTAAAAATACAACTGTTTCATCCTTACTGTGGTGAATGAAAGAATTTAATAAATTTTTACTTTTAATATCTAGCAAAAGGAGGAACAGGTGGTATAATGGTTAGCAGCTTGGAATAAGAAATTGCATTCATTTTCATGCAAACATCTTTGCTATAGATTAGATAGCAGGGCAGATTTGTTTCTCTAGTTATGGTTGGCAACCAGTCTAAGAGAAAGACAACTCTGAATTCAAAACTGTATGTAGCCCTGGCGTAGCACATACTATGCAGCCATTGACAAGATCATGGAGTTCACAATGACTAATCTTGACTGTGTCACATTATTAACTAGTAAAATAAATATATAAAAATTAAAAAATGCGATTTTGTACTCAGCTGATAAAGTAATGAAACAAAATATACAGTAATATGTATAAAAAAGGCATTAAGAAAAATAAACAGAAAAAGTGGATATTGAGCAGACCTTCTGTAATTCTAGTCTAAAACAGCAAGGTTAATTTACACCCCCACAAAAAAAAAAAAAAAAAAAAAAAAAAAAAAAAAAAAAAAAAAACCAAACAAACAAACAAAAAAAAAAACAAAAACAAAATCTCTAACCCACCTAGTCTCTTTGCATAACCTCATATATTTAATAAAAGAATATAAAAGTCAGTAAAAGGTGATCAAAAATCTATTTAAGCCTAGGCAACATCAGATCACCCTGCTAGCATACCCATACAAACGCATTTATCTATTACAGAAATAAAGGTATAAAAGAAATGCAAGATTTAATTCTGTGAACCTGGGACTGACAAATTGAAATAGTTTCAGGTGAACAAAATGAATGCATTCATATTTTTGGCAAAGCTCCAAAAAGTATGAATAGTAAAAAAAATATTGTCTGAAGACTAAAATAACCTTTGTTTCTGTTTTATTTATCATTCTTATATTTTTCTGAGTTGCTTTTTAGAAACTAATAGTTTCAGTATTGATCATTTGAATCTACTTCTCCAGTTTCAAGTAGCAATGTGGCAAGAAGGTTGACAGGTACAGAGAAAAAAAAAAAATGCTGACAATTAGAAATCAAGTCATTTTTAAGTTTCCAACTTTACTTGGGTTGCATGTGTTTTTACACTACATATTGCAAATATATGTTTTAAAGATGTTTGAGAGCATCAGTAGGCCATTTTAAAGTCATTAAAAGAAAAAACAAAAACAAAAGAAACAATGACAAATGTAAGTAATTGAATGACAAAATGGGAAAATTCTATGTAAAGTGTTTCATCTTTCAAGATTACTTCAAAATTAAATATGTTCTTACTGATGGAATATATATATATATATATATATATATAACCAGCTTAGCCAAAGTGGTTGGGGAAAGGCCCAGACCAATAATAGGGTATGTGTGCATCTGTGAGGAAGTGTAAGTTTCTCTGATGGCCCATGTGGTAGAGCTGAAAGTGTGAAGCACATCACTAATTGTTCCTTGTTGAAGCAAACAATGCTACATATAAAAAGCTAAGGTCCCAACACCAAAATAGAATTACAACTGTGTATGTATGTATGCTTGAATGCATGGATATCTGTGTCTAGCTTCTAATTGCTTATATGGATGAGTTGATTTGAACTAAAATGTGTATACCTGTATGTATGCGTCTATGTACATGATAGTGCCACCCCAAACACAGAAGTAGATTCCCCCTCCTGCCATCAAACAGTCAAACAAGCATAAATAGATCCAATTTAAAAAAAAATAAATAAATAAACCAGTTTGCCTGATAATCGCAAAAGCGTGAAACCCAGGGTCACAAACTTATATATATATATATATATATATATTCCAGTGTCTGTTTTTAAGTATTAATAATCTAGATTAGTAGCAAAAAAATTATTTTTTTCTTAATTATATATAATAGTTATATCCAAAAGGTCAACTATATAATCAAGTAAAATTTATTTTGCTAGCCAGTTTACACAAACAGACATTGTGATTTCTCCAAGCAAGTCTTGTTAAATTCAACTGACATGGTCTGTTTAATTTTTTATTCTATTTTCCAATCTGAGTAAAATGCTGTACATTATGATCCAAATTTTGTACAAACTGACAAAATTCAAGTTTCATTCTAGTAATTTTGGCCATCTTAGTCAGTCTCAAGAACTAGCTGTTTTCAATGTGGTAGATAAGATTTTGTTGGTTACATCCAAAATTTTGGGATAATATTCAAATTAACCCAAAATGACATTAAATTCTATACGGGAGAAATGACATTAAGTAAAATATCTTTCAACACAGGAGACAGTATCTTAAAGTGTGTAATTAAAATGTGTACAAAACACACAAATATTTGATACATTCTTTTTCAGTGTGGTTTAGCTCTGTGGAGCTGTTTTACACGTCACTTTGAATTAACCTGAATCCCAGTGTTCAAAAAATGCCCTGGGTACCACACTGAAAACATCCAGCTCTTGCGAATACATGAGATGGTCAAAAGTACTTGAATAAAAACAAAACATGAATTTCAAACAGTTTAGCCACAATTTTGATAACAATGTGTCATATTTGAAAAATTTTTTTAAAAATAAAACAGATAAACCTTATTGTCTGAATTCTTACAACCCCCAAAAATAATAATAAAAAAAAAAAAGAAAAAAAAAGAAGAACAGATAGATGTTTAAGTTAATTTCTATCTACTCCAAATTTGTTTGTATTTATAGTTTGAGTCTTTGTTTTTTTTTGTGGTGGTGGTGGTGGTGGGGGGGGAATCATGGTATTAAAAAAAAAAAAAAAAATTCACTTTAAAGACCCTGCTTAAACTTTACAAAAATTTTGTTAAGTATATCTCTCTGAAAATAAGATGTAAAAGTTCAAGTATACCTCAACACTGAGAAAGTGATTTTTTTAAGAAAGCAAAACATTTACATAAAAAGCATACAAAAATATGTAGGCCTAAATATATTTAAACAAAACTGGAAAAATATATTCATGCATATTTATTGCTGGCAAGTTTTTTGTATAACCTCAATCTTCATTGGGGACCTATATTATTATATACAACTTTGTTAAAATGAAACTTGTTCAGATGTAGCTTCATTTTTTGCATGTCCCAGTGTATCATATTGATTTTAGGATAGTGCACTAAGAGTGTGGGGCAGAGTAAGTGTGGTCTATTTTCAAGCATTAACGTGAAAGAACAACACTGGCTGCTAGAATTTGAAAGAGTTTTGTCAGTTCTATTTTCTGATGTCCAAACTATCAAACCCTTTTGCAGATTCCAAAGAAGAAATGTCAAGACATTCTCCTCTTCCAACATTTCCAGTACATTAATCCTAATTTTTTTGCTATTTTTTTCCTACCACAGTCTGAATAGAAATAAGCACATGTGCTTTACAGAATTGAATTTCCTTTTCTAATATTTCAGTTTTGTGGTCTCAATAGTTCTACTTCAGTTAAAGTATATCCCAATAGAAAAATCAATCATGATTCCAAGTCAGAGATATTGAGTTAGTATGGTTAGTTATTGTATTTGTGGTAGGACAATGAATGCCTGGCTAAGAGAGCTGAAGTTCAACTCTAAGAAGGAATCAATAAATTCACAATCACCAAGAAAATTGATTCTAAACTAGTATAAAGTTAATACCTGATTTAGTAAAAAAATTTTTAATACCTTAATAGATGATACCAACATCATAAGGAAGAGGGGGAGGAAAAAACAAAACAAAAAAAAACATGCAATGAATTAAAATTTTATTTATTTATTTATTTTTTAAATTAATTCACTACAAGCAAGGTGATACTGCCACTAAGACACAAGGGGTTACTGAGAGTGAGAAAAAAAAAATGAAAAGAAGAAACTGGAAACAAGAAAAACCTCTACACCTTTTCAAAAGACTAGGGAGAATGAGAACTGGATGATAGGCAAGCCTATCTACTCCTATTGAAGAAAAAATAAATAAACAGTAAATAAAATTTCAGAGCTTAGGGGGAGATGTTAGAAGTATAGATTTGCTTTGGTTAATTTTGTTTAGCAGCATGTCAAACTATGGGTTATTTAATGCCGGAATGTAAGTATTTTGAAAACAATTTTCTGACTTCAACTACAGATTGTTGATAATTTTCTTATAAAGAGCTAGTGTTGGTAATTTTTACTATAAAATACTATTATACATTCATAGTGTTTTTGTTTTTTTTGTTGGGGGGGTCACTATTTGCCCACAGCTGGGACCCTAACAGGTGCTGCCACCCTAGGTCAGGGTGAACAACAGTAATTAAGTGGGTCCATGTTCATTAAAACCTCCAGTCTCCCAAGAGAGGCCTTGGTGCTGGATGTAGTTTATCATAGAAGCAGATTTTAATTCAAAAGAGCAGGTCGCTTGCTCAGACACCTAATTTTTGTCTGGATATTTTTTTTTCTTTTCTCTTTTTTTCTTTAGTT